AGAGAAAGCATTTCTTATTTTTATTTTTTTGTTTGTTTTCCTGCAGACCGGAGAGAAATCTGGGCAGGTTGAGAAGTCCAAGAAGAACGCCAGGCAGAGACAAAACGACTTTAAAGTACCAGAGAAACATCAAACATAATCTAAAACCACTGAGATTCAGGTTTGTTGATTATTTTCCGTCTCTTACAGAAAATGATCGAGGAGCTGACCAACAGGCTGGTGAAGCTGATCCGGGGGGCTCTGCTGCCGACCACCCTGCCTCGAGCCGAGCTGGGCGTTTACGGGGGCTGGGAGGACAAAARGGAGCTGACGGGAGCCTGGCTGACGCAGATCATACACACCGTCAGGTCCGACCGCGGTGGAGGCTGACCACACGCCTGCTTTAGTTTCTCATTAACAGCGTGTTTTTATTTACTCAGGGGCTGTCACGAAGCTCTGTCAGCTCTGGAGATCCCCAACGATCTGCTACAGGTCATCCAGGACCTGCTGCTGGAGCTGAGAGTCCACTGCCTCATGATGACCCTGCTGCTCACCACCGAAGGTGAGCTCTGCTCCCCCTCTACATTCGTTTATATTTAAACAACTGGGCTCAGATTTATAAAGGACTGCATGGAAACCATACTAAAAGTGAACGTACGGCCAAAAGGAGAAAATGGCGTACGCCAAAAAAGTACTCRGATTTATAAAACCGCGCGTAAGGAGGAAGGAGATGGAGTTGCTTGAACTTTTAAGATTTAAGTTTTTATTTCAAAGGTCCTCATGGCTCACAGCAGAAGCATAAAWAACACTGTTAAGAAAGCTAAAGTTCATCTAAAATCTAAGTCTGATTATGAAGTGAAATTAAATACTGTATCTGACAGTGATCATTACACAGTGTGGCTCTAATTCTTCACTTKACCATCWGTAGCTGTGTTTCCATTSYKCATGAKAATGCGCAAATTAGAATTTCGAAAATAAATTTGCTCAATGGAAACACGTCAATTTCAAAAAGAATTATGTTATTCGACAAAATGTTTTTGCGCTAGGATGAGGTGGCTTTTCGGCCGTATCGAAATTGGTGTTTTTTGCAAAACTGCAATGGAAACATTTTTTCACATCACGGGAGTCACGTGATCAACAACCGTCTGTTTCTACTGGTGAAAAAGACGAAGAAGATAACAGGAAGTAGAAGTAGTAGTAATATCACAGAAGTAGTATAAAGTAGTAAACTCACCGACTACAATTTCCCAAAAACACAGCAAGCTCCCAAGTAGGGACTTGTCTCTGGAAAGCCTCGATAAAAGACGCCGACGTCTCCTCTGACGATG